CGTTCGCGGCTTACTTAAGGCGTTGGTCAGGGGGCCTACGACGTCTTGTCTTCTAACTTTGTTGTGTCTCTCGTTCTTCGACGTTGACTTCTGCTATATCCTCTCATGGTATGTCACATTTAAATGACTCACTCAGCGGAGTCTTTAAGTTACTTTTCACCTACCATATGATCACCATCTGTCTGAGGTTCCACTAATTGCTTCTCTGTGTCTGTAATTTTCCTTCGATCTTAGGGAAATTCTCTCCATGAGGTGTGAAAGCATTGCTTACATTTTTCCGCTACCATTTAAGTTAAATTCGTCAAGTGGAGGGTATCTAATTGTGGCTAACCATGTTTGCAGTTCCTGTGAGTTGATGTCTTTTTTCGTTTTATCCTATTACTTATTTTGCCTCCATTAACGCCTTGTAGATGTGGTGCTGAGTCAAAGCTATAGTTAAACTCTTTATAACTGCCTTAACTCCCTTTTTTAGACAATGTCTCGTCTCTTCTCATTATGAACAGTTCGTATTCGCCACGTTCTATCGATCCTCAAAAACCCTTATCTATTAAAGTGGATGAGCAGAACACGAAAGTTCAAATACCATATCTTCCACCCTCACCGTCAATGATCGATCGAGCACGGCCTGGGCGGGCAGTTCTTGTGAATTCAACACTGGACTCAGTTCCCCCTATTATTTCCAGCCCTCTGCCCTCCTCTTCTCTTATGCGGTTTATCAATAGTTCTGTGTTCTCCGTGATTCATACCCTTCACTATCTTGATGACAGCTCTGCGTCAGAATATCGGAGCTGCTTGGGTGAGTTTTTGAAGCATTTCATTCATTTGCTTCTTGTAGTTTTCAACTTGAAATTATCAATGGATCTTTAAATTGTTGCTCTCCTTTGCTGATCCACATTTAATCGGTTGATTTCCCAGCCTTTTAATAAGATTAGACAATCTCTTCTTTACGATGGAGTCATCGCATGGGGACCAATAAATCTATGTGAAATATTTCGACGGTCTTGATGCTTTATAGATCCTTGCTCTAAGTTAAATGAACACTTATAGTTTCTTTCACTATATAAATGCCTATTCTGCTGATTTCGCATTACTCAGTTCTGTCTCTTTTGTGTCACATTTCCAATCATATGACTCTATTTGTCTGATTTTTTAAGCATTTTGATGAAAGGCGGTGCTAAAACTTGTGCTCTCGCCTTTTATGTAATGATCTCAAGCTTATTGCCGAGGCTTAAAGGTAAAAAATCCTTCAATGTCTAACAATTCGGAGTCCTAATTTTCGTTTTGTCAGTAAGTTTTTATCCATTCAGTGTTTCAGATGGTTTATTATGGCTAGTAATATTTTTTGCTTCCACCGATACTGCTGTATTTATTCTTCAACACTGTTTGTTTCCAATGAATCACGCAAGACAGGATATTTCCTCGTACTCTCCCCTACTCCTACCAAAACTGCCTTAGCCCGTCCAATGTATATTTGTCTACTTCGGCCTTTGATCAGGTCTGTCGCCCCTTTAGTACGTAATCCTTGTGATTAAGTCTGCTACTTCGATTGTTTGTTAGGTCGTTTCTTGATTCTCTGAGTTCAGCATAATGCAAAAAACTTGAACCTCCAATCCACTTAAACTTTGCTACATTTTTTTATTAAAATCTTCTAATCTTACGCTTCCACTAATCCGGTAATCTTTTGCCATCACCATATTCAAAATATTAGCGCAACAGATTCTTTGTGGCTGGGAAAATAGCGGTAGTTCCTTTGATACTCAGTCACTCTAAGTAACCTC